TTGACTGCCAAAGAGTGTTGCCAAAGTGCGAGCCAGCGTGTTATTTGATCACAAGTGTGAGCCAGTGAGCCAAGACATCACAACAATAGATACGAGACGTTAACGAGTTGTGCGAGGTATCGTCTGAGATTTGTGGAGTACAATTAAAAAAACAACTATAGGTCTAATAATGAATTATTGTGATGTTAAATAGACAATGTTAGCTATCAAGGAGCGACGTTGTTTTTCACAGAGACCTTCGTCCCTTCAAGGCTAGGCCTATACCATCCTAGCTAGTCTAGGCGTAGAGTAGGATTTTTTATTTGGTGAGATGATTTAGTATGGGGAGTTTTCAAGGCGGCGAATTTTCTAAGGGGCGAGTTTGTAGAGGCGAGTTGACTGCCAACGCACCACACAACGTAAGCATGATCGAATTCGAGTCAACTAGGCACCAAGTCAACTTGGCCACAGTTTCGCGGCCCCTAGTATAATACATTTTTAATTATTGTTTTAAAATGTAATAATTAGCACGTTGAAATAAATAAGTTTAACTGGGTTCGTAAATACTATAGGCCTCAAAGTACTGTGCCGAGACTTGGGCCGAGTTGACATTTATACCGCTCATGGTTATAGTAAAAATGCTAAATAGTAATACTCAAGCGTCTCGAGCTGACGTAGAAACATAGTTTAAAACGAGCGTTGGTGTATGCCAGTCTACAACAAGCGTCGCTTAAATGTAATAATTAGCACGCTGAAATAGGCTAGTAAATAAGTTTAACTGGGTTTGTAAATAATATTGGCCTCAAAATACTGTGGCTGAGACATGGGTCGATTAAACGTAGAAATAGGAAACCTAGAAATATAGTAAAAACGCTAAATAGTAATACTCGAGCGTCGCGACATGCGGACGTTGGTAATTGATTTTACCCGGCAGAACGAAAGAAGGAAACTCCGCTTTTCAGTCATCTTAGGCCCTTGTTTTTTGACAAACAATGACCTTTATGAGGTTAAATTGCTGTCAAGAATATGAATTGGCTGCTTCGCAGCAATTATCTTTACTTTTAGTCAAGCTTTCATTGATCGCTTTTAACTATACAATCATAGACAGATACACAGGGTATGCCCTCAAAGAATGTTCTTAAGCTAAGACTTTGTGGACAAGCTTTCCATCATGGCCTTCATTGGTTAGTTAATAGACAAATATTAAATTTACAGCAAACACCTGTATTTGAGAATCTGATATAGATACCTGTGCAATAAACTCTCGTCCAGTATGACATGGATTAATGGTGTCACATAGAACAAAACCGGAGGAAACATCCTATGAAACGAAAATAAAATTTAAAAAAAGTTTTTCCTCCAGAGTCTTTAAGAAAAATAATGGGTGTATTGTATTGTTGATATACTACTTCTTAATTATTTGAGCGTGTATCCTTTCAAAGAGACAATCTCTTTATGATTGTGGAGAAGTGGTTTGGCGTAGCGGGAACAAGGCTTGGTTTCCCAACCTCAATGGTGTGTTTTCAATCTCTCGCTGTGCATTTCGCCTGTGTCCTTGAACAAGGCACTTTACCTGCACTGCTTCTCTCCTGTCTCTTATACACATCTAGATGTGTATAAGAGACAGATTTACGGGGGTGCAATCGCACCGTCTGCACCCCCTGCATCCGACCCCGGCAGGACCTGCAGTTGAACCATGCTCATATAGTGTAGTTGAAAGAATTCATGAAAATAAATTGCAACAAAAAGTTACTTACATCTTCTTCAACACCTCTGACTTTGACTTTGACATTATCACCAGCGGTAGCGCTGTTCCTCTCATCATCATCAACCAATATAGTTAACACCTCCACTGGGGTCTACCAACATTAAAACATTGAAACAAATCTAATATATGTAAATTGGGAAATTGATCCAGGAACTTGAAACAGAGTGGGCTCAGGGAGGGAATTTACAGATGGAGGGTCCAGATCACATAAACCCATGGCTATGACACCTCTAGATGGCCAGAAGTGGAACCCATACACTTAAATTTAAATGTCACTTTCTTTTTTACCCATTATTAAAAAAAAAAACAAAAACAAAAACAAAAAAACATTTGGTCAACATTTTGGAAATAAAATCGAAACATAAACAAATATTAAACATACTGGAATAATTCACATTGCTTTTAATATGTTTAACAATTATAATGCAGAATTAATTTTAGATGAAAGACAATGAAAACAAAAATGAAAACATAAAAAAATATAATTAAAAACTATAAAGTTTCAACAAGAAAATCATGGATGCCAGTCCAGCTTGGCACTATTAGCCGTACAGCTTTTAGCTGACCTTTTCTTATTTTGTTGATGGTTTCTCCAATTCAAATTTACCTTAAAATATAAATATATTATTACATACCTTATTTGGCATCAACACTAGTGATGAGCCTTTAGAAATTTCTCCAGATTCAATTTTACCCAACAGTATCGTTCCCATATCCTGATATTGAAATTCAAAAACAAAATGAATTTTGTTAATGGAATATAAGTCCACCTTCATGTATAAGTCCACCAGCTAAACTTCAATCAGTTTTCATGGGGGTGGGTGGCTGTAGGCCCTCGTGACGCCACCTAGGCCTAGACTAGACATTGTCCCGGAGGCGCACGTCCTGGAGCTGAAGCCTCTTAGCACCGCGACAATGTCAGGCCTAGAATGGGCATAGCCGCACTAGGCCTCGGGGTTGAACAACAAATCTATTCTATTTCCTTCACGGTTCCTTCATCTTTCCACTTCACAAATTTTAGCGAATTTAATCGAATTAAGTACAGTAGGAACCCTCATTTACGAACCCTGATTTAACGAATTCCGGATTTTACGAACGTAATATAAAGGTGATGACGTCATAAAAATTGAAGTGAAAGATTTAAAAAAAAAAAAAATCCGCTCGAATTGTAACTGTTATTAGCATGCATACAACACAACACACCATACTATACAGTACTATGTAATTCTCAAGTGAAGGAGGCCCTCTAACGGGCCCCTTCAAAGTCAGTGTTTTTTATGGCTTCACACATATGTGCATGCGACAAATTTTACTTCTCTTTCAAACATCGTTTTCAACTTTAAAATTTACCATAGTGCTTGATTGTTTTACTGAATGATCAATATATATATAATAAACAAGTATCTATGGAAGTTGTGCTGGAGTAAAATCCACAATCTAGGTATTCAAGAAGGTAAAAATGTCCGATAAAAACAAATTTGTGTAGGGCCTAGAGTGGGATCAGAATGCTTAGAAGCTGCCTACTGTAGGCCTAGGCCCCCTCAGACTTAGCTGCGTAAGCCTGTAGGCTAGCCTAGGCCTAGTTTATGCCAGTGTAAGTAGTACCAGTGCAAATATATAGGAATTAGGGTCACCCCCGATTTTACGAATACCCAAATTTACGAACGGCTCTGGGCCCGTGCCGTACGTAAGTGAGGGATTCTACTGTAAATACAAAAGTAAGCAAAAATGAGAGCGATATAATTCCAAAACGGTGTAACGGGCGACGAATGATTGCCATTATATATAACGTGCTTGTAGTACATGGCAGCAAAGAGTATATATATACTCTTTGATGGCAGTAACGTCGGAGAACCGACCGTCGGTTAATTAATATCACTATAGTGCCACCAACATGGTGAATTTTGTGTGTTTATTTTAAATAAAGCTTCAGAGAGGAAGATGAAAAACAATTACATGACATTACGAACCGACCTCCACCACCAATACCATCCTTACTCCTTCCCCACCCCGAAAAAAAAACTCCACGAATTTGATATAATATTGAGAAGTCAATATCATGTTAAAAAAATCGGAAATCCGATTTAAATCGGAAAAATATCATCCCTAAATTAACAGTTTTGGTAAGTGTAAATAAGTAAGTGTAAATAAATTGCACTGAATATTTACCTACAAACATTTTAAAGCTCAACATAAGCTCAAACAAAGAAAATTCATCTGACAGAAATAAAATTACATAGTGATCACTCCATGCATATTTCAGGAATGATTCAACTCCAATCATAATGTAAACAGATCTGAAATCAGGGCTAATTTAAGCCAGTTCTAAGAACTTGCTTGTTTATTTGATACAAAATTCTTTCCATAACGCCTACAAATGGAATGCTTGCATT